CACCCTTTCTCTTCCACAATGGTGTACCCCTCAAAACCCTTGACCTTCGCTAGCCACTGCTTGGCCTGAGTTATCATCTTGATCGGAGCAGACTGGAAACCGGCACGACTCATACTCCTGCGCCACTGATCAACCCTCTCATGCCTCTCTATCCGAGCCTGCCCCTCACAGCTCACTATGTTCTTTATTTCCTCTGCAAAGTAGAACTGCTCAATTTTGGCACGCCTGGTGTCATACTTGGGAAGCATTGCGTCAAGTGAGTCGAATATGGCTGAATAATAATGCAACGCTTCCATGAACCTACCAAGCAAGAAGGGTCCATAATGGCTTGAATCCTGCTTCACCAAAATGAGAAGTTTGGGTGACAGCTCGTGCAGCCTCTGTAGAACAGAGTTCAATGCTCCCCTGCTTTCTTTTACCACGCAATGCAATTGAAGGATGCTGTTGCTGATCACAACCTCGCCATCGGAGACGGCTATATCTTTCAGTTTAAGCGTTTCAAGGTTGCTTTCCACCATTACAGATTCGAAGTTCAGCCCCAAGCTCTATGCATATAGCTCTAAATCATCTCCAATTGCTTGGGGGCGTTGAAGGCAGGTACCGACTCCACTCCAGTGATTCTCAGACGTTTGGGTGGTTTTCCAGTGCGGTTGGCAAGGCTATGCATTAAGTCACGCCACTGGTGGCCATGGGGCAGGCCGAGGGTCATCCCCAAATCCACCACATGAACAAAACTCTCTCCCTCAAAGGCTTCCAATATCGATGCATTCACTACAAAATGACCGAATTGGATTTGTGGGCAAATTTCATAGACCAGACGTAAGGCCGCATCCTCCTTGGAAGTAGCCGGAACCGCCATTTTTGCTTTTGGTCCAACCACTCCGACAGTGCCAAGTGGTTGAACCAAGGAAAGGCAATCGGCCAGCCCCTGCACAAACCAGGACACAACTCTCTGGAAAGATGTTCCGAAGACAAGGGCATTAGCCCTGAGCTCCAATAGTAGCACCAAAGCATATGTTTTGTCCTGGCAAGCCACCGCCTCCGCACAGGCAAAAAGCTGCTGAACAAGTTTCATCCCATCTCCACCTCCTTCCTCCTTAGTTTCATAGTCCTCCTCCCCACCCATCATGGCCACTGCTGCTTCTTCCATGGCCTCAGCAGCCAAGAACCTCTGTGTGTAAGCCCATACATAATCCGGAGTTGAAGACTCAGGAAGCTACTCAAACCACTGATATTCCCATTGTTATTGCTTGCAATCGATTCTTCAGGTTCAAGCTTTAGCCTCTTATGATTTCTTGTTTCATCAAAATTTTGCCATAAACAATCATTGTCCTGCAAATCGGAAAAACAGGAATAAACTGTCAGCTCGGACAAATTCAGATCAAGACCTGTTACTTCATTGTTATGATCATCATTACTCGAGTCCAGGTGCCATATCACTGAACCTTTGAAAGAACCATATGCCATAAAAGGTTCCATTTATATGCATTTTCCCTTGTTGCAGCGTGATCTCCAATGTAGAATTTTTAAAAAGATGTCCTGCTTCTACAACACATAGAGCAATGTAAAGCATAGAGCAATCAGAAAATTAAGAAAACATTTCTCTCCATCGTTTTCTTGAAATCCCTGTTATTTGGGAGTTCGTAACATTTTGTCTTTCTTCATTCACCACTCTTAGGTTAGGAGATACATCCATATTTGTTTTCAAATGTTACCATTGTCTGTTATGTCTTGTCATTTAAAGATTCCTTGTATTCTCTTCCTTGGAACCAAAGTTTTTTTAGGGCTCATACGGTACCTTCGACTAGGCAGACGAATTAAGAGGTGGGTGGTATAGAGGTTTGAAGTTCACGGGTAGATGAATAACGAAATTTAGAATATAAATGATAATAATTATCAATCATTAAACATCAATTATTTACCATTTGCTGCATTTTGAACTACTAATCTAAATATAACCCTTAAATCCTAAATTAATTAAAAACAGATCATCTACACTCATAATAACCTTTCCTAAAAGCAGACCTTTGCGAATAAGCTGGGAACAAACTCCTTCAATCGTTACCTACAAGAACTCCTTTAAATGTTACTCACAAACTCAAATCCTGGGTATCTATTATTTATAATCTAAGGCTGTTTATTTTTACCAGTTCTAATCCCAGCTAAATATACACAAACATGGTTTAACAAAAACCCTGGAGATATCTTAATGAAAATGAACAAATCAAAACGAAATTGTCATTTCTTCATGTGGAACTTAGTTTATGAAATTTTTGTTTTCAGAGTATGTCACAAAATTGGTAAATCCTAGATCATCTTGTTTCACTGAAACAAGAATGGGGATGCAATAGGTACCCCTAAGCTTTCTTTCCCCTGCTGGTATATACTACATATAGAGGTGTACCAAAGAGACACAATTGCCGTCCAGGATCATTGGCATCTTCTACCAAATAGAAATAGGAAATAGTAATTTATTCGCAATGCTTTGCTTTGAAATGCAGATGCATGCACTTCTTTGAGGAAGGAAAACTGCAAAGCATATTCTACTTTGTACTAGATATTTTAGTAAAGGAAAAATGGGTATCCAGCAAGATGATGCAGATGTAAGCTTGGCACCAGCAAGAAAATGAAGAAATGCATCCTTTGCTGCAGGCCAAATTATGTGTTCTCAGAGGCAAAAGAATCTAGAAACATAGTTTTAGGCTAACAGGAGAATAGATAGCCAGAGATTAGACAAGGCTGCTGAATGATAGAAGAATTTCTAATTATAAAACAAAACAAAAGAATGAATCCTATTCAGTTTATTCCTACACATAAGATACATCTCAGCATTAAGGTGAAGAATATGAACAAATGAATTCCTAATGACCTAAAACAAGGAGGAAGGGCAACTAGAAATTGAAAGCAACTCAAACAATACATGTGTACAAGATAAGTACACCCTTCTCACCTTGATAGACACTCTGATCCAAGGCTCAATGGGATCAACCAGGAACCTTACTCCTCATGACACAAAATTGTTGGTATAAACCACTTCCCCTTGCTGAATTTCGTTCTCTTTTCTTGTCTTTTCTGATCTATTGTTCAATAAGAAAACTCATGGCCTCTGAGTGATATGTACTTCTTGACCCATATAGCAATATCCTCTGTGCAAGCTTGAGCTTCTGGTGTCTGCAGGAGCATGTCAAGAGTAGCAAACTCATGCACAGCATCCTTGTATTCAAGAAGAGGAGCATCCACATTAACCTTCCGGAGTTCCTCTGAGTAAGCAATGGCCCTATCCCTCATCCAGTCATGCTCCGCCACAACAGTTAGTGTTGGGGGCATGAACTTCAGAGGAGGCTCTCTCCCTGGGATCAGAGGGTTAGCAGCAGGGTGATCTAGGCTGAAATTTTCCTCAGGTAGAAAGAGTTTCCATGCCAACATGCAACTTGCCTTGTCGTAGAAGTAGGAGTTTGCAAGCTTAATTTCAGAATTCAAGGGAATACTCCCTATGAAGAAAGGATACATCAAGACTTGTGCAACCACCTTAACAGGATCCAAAAGCTTTCCAGCCTCAACAGCCTTCCGAGCCACATAATCTGCTATGTTTGCACCACAGCTCACCCCAAGGAGCACACACCTGTTCAGACACAGTTCTAAGTTGATTAGTGTCTCCTAAACTTCAAAACCGAAGAAAACGCAAAATCAAATACTAGAAATATTAGCAAACATTTTGAAACTGTTAATTGCACTTGTTGGACAGATGAAAGTGATAATTAACCATGCCACATTCCCATTTCGAGATTTCCAGAAGTTTGTTTTGGTTCAAGGAAACTTCCAGAAAGCTGCTGATCGTACTTAGTTTTAACAAACCAACAACACTATCCCACAATCTCAAGACTTTCTTTTGCTTCTATTGTCTCTTAGAAGCAACATTATGTGAGAAAGGGACATTTTGTCTTAATTTCTTAATGAAACTCTAGACATAGAGCCATTAAAATTTCAATTTTCTGAAATATGTAAGCAAAATTCTTGACTAATCATAGCATGAATGAAAGATTCAAAGAAAAGGTAATTCAATTGAAAATGTAAGTAGAGAGGATAATGTAACGCAGACCTAGAAAGATCCCCATGAGCAGCCAACCAAGGTTCTGCCATTGATGCACCAAACCCATCAAAAACCTGAGCAGCATCCACCTTCCTCCTCCCATTCCCGACCCACCTTCCGCACTCAGCCAAATTTGCTTGCTTTCCCATCCAATTCAGCACCTTCAACCCATCCTCAAACGCTGCCGGATACCGGCTCTCCGGCGCCAGCCTATAACCGACCGCAACCACGATAACCTCACACAATTTCGCAATCCTCCTGCAGAACAAATCGTTCCCCACGCTGTCATTGCTCCCGCTCACAAACCCCCCACCATGAAACTGCAGCATCACCGGCAATTTCTTGTGGGCTTTTCCCCTCGGAGGAGAATAACCTCCGTATACATGAGAACCGCCGTCGGAACACTCGTTTTCTGTCGGCTGAGAGCTGACGATGGTTTCCGGAAGGAATATACGGATACAGAGAGCGGAGAAAGGGTCGATGTGGATATCCTTGGTGGCGACACCGTCGGTGAAAGAAGGATTACTGGGTGCCGTCGATTCATCATGCCGTGAAGTTATTCCAAAAGGGTCGGCGTTCTTGAGAGGAGCTTGCGTCAAGCTATAAAGCTTGTGCCTTTGATGAAGCTTGAAGAAGATACTGTAGAGTTTCACCAATAAGCTGGGCATTTTCCTAAGGAAGAAAGCAATCTCGGCCGTTTATCGATGAATCCGATGAAAATGTTCAAGAATTTTGTGGGTTTAAGGTGCCGCCATTGATGATTTCAGAGAAAGACTGGGCCAAATTGTTAAAAGCGTGTCGGAGAGTGGCGGCATCGGTCAAAGAAGTTTCGGAATTGATGCTTCACTGGGTTGTACTTTTGACACTTATCTGAAGAAAAGGAACGTGACTTTCTTAATGTACAATTAAAATAAGCGTTTGAGTTCAGCGTTGTAAATGAGGAGAGGAGCAGACGAATCTGGACGGTGATGCTGACTTGGACCTTCGTTGGCATGTGGGGCCATGTCACCAATAAGGAACCCATTGATTGGAGGAATTATATGATCAACGGTGATAGGCGCAATCTGATTTTCTTTTCTTTTCTTTTTTTTTGAAAAAATTGTGCTGTTTGGGACCGACGTTGTACCCAGCTGTGATGTGGAATAAAATTCCTTTTTGTTTATTTTAATGTTTTCGTTTTCATTTGGACACCACATTGCTTTCTCCCAGAAAAAAAATAAATAAATAAATAAAAGGGAAATTATGTGCCTGCCATTCTTTACTGTTGGTAGGGATGTAATTCCCGTCGCCACGA